AAAGACTAAATTTGCATTTATTGAACCCAAAAGTGGCTCAAAAATATTTTTGTCCCAATTAAATGTTATTCTAACATTATTTTCATAAATTCTTGCTATTTTGTGTTTTCAACTAAACCTAGCCCTAATTCCATAGCTGTTAAATGTCAAAACATAAAGAATGTAAGAAAATTTCGAGCTTAAAGGAATATTTCAGATTAATTTGAAGGTACAAGTAGGAGTAGAAACCATGATGAACACTCTCAGGGCAGGATCCTTTGTAGACTAAATATCCACCTATTTTTTCTGTTAAAGTGGATTCTGTACTGTGGATTTTTGCACCTCATATCTAATGCATCGGATGGTTATAGAGGATTTAGTTGTAGCACCAACCCTCGTAGCTACACCTGGGGGAACACTGAAGGTAAACATAATGCTGCAGTCGAAGCAAAAAGATGAATACTAATAACACAAAGGAGAAACACTAGAAGGTCTATATTTATAGTGAAGCTGTAGCTATAAGATGCATCTATTACATCTAAATACAAAACATAACATTACAGGAAACAAACCTGATGAATGCAGAGAAATGACTGGAAACCACGCTGTGCTGCAGCTACTAATGTGTATGTTTGAATCATGGGTGACCTGTGGTGGAACCATCTGGTGCAAAACTGACCTAAACCTATACAAATATTAGTTTGAGTTGTTTTAGATGGAAATGTCTTCTTAAAGGGGATTTTTTTCCATTAGAGATCAACTTTATCATTTCTTCCCGACACCTCCTTCTGACTGCTGCACGAGACACCGACTGCTCAAACTCCCACACTCCCTCTCCGAAGAGCTGAAACGTCCCATTAAAGGAAAAAGAAAAAAAATCCAGCCTGGATTATCGTTTTGCATCCGTTTTTAACAGCGAGCAAGCTGTTGTTGGAAAGAAGGAGAATCAGTTTAGCTGTTGATGAAACAATCTCAGGCTCGGCTAAAATTCTGCTAAATGTAAGGAAAGCACAAGCTGAGCTCCAGAGTAGAGGCGTGGATGAAGCATGCAATGGCCTGTGGGGAAGCCCGCCGCTTGTTAGTGTCTTCAGTACCACAGGGTCCCTTCTTCCTTGCATTTCTGCCATTATAATTATGACTGGCATGCAGTTACATCTCCATGTTGTGCTGGCTTGAGAGATGTGGCAGAAAGTCACCAAAGGGCTTGCGGGAAGCGTGACAGCTGGTCATGAAGCTGCATCTCGCATCCTGTCTGCAAGCGTCTGCGAGGATGCTGCTGATGCCTCGGCTGACCGATGAGCCAGAGGCAGGAAAAGCAGGAGAGGAGAAATGGCCAAGCAATCACTCAGCAGCAGACCTACTGAATGGTCCCACACGGCTGCCACCCGCGGTGTAATGAGGGTTAGCGGGTCGTGCTGCCTCTCTGTCAGCTGGGACTGCCTGGGACAGAGGCCTCATCGTACATTTGGACGCCAGTGAGCCCGTAACATAAATATAAAACTCATCCCCAACAAAAAGTCTTCATCTTTGTCCAAAACCACTTTAGAGTTAACTTTGATCGACTGTCCTGTTAGACGTTTCCTAGACATATGAGCCTTCCCCTCAGTGCCATTAATTACTTTGTGTAGAAATACTTTATGGAGTCATTATAGTAATGCAGTTTAATTTCATTTCAAAGCAGATCACTGTCAAACACAAGCATTTGTAAGTGCCTCAGCAGATCATTCTTCAATAGCTGGAACTTCTTTGTGTGTAAATACATGTAGAGATTTTTAAAAGGATAGTTGATCCTTTCTAATGTGTGGATTCCTAATGAGCAGTCAGCATCTTACCTGCAGTACATATCAGTTATGGTAGTTTGGAGAATTGGGAAGAAGAGATAATCATCATCTAAGTTTCAGTAGTTCTGTGGTTGATGCCAAACCTATCCACGAAGCTCTCGCACAAAATCTCTCTCTCATAAAGTAATTTCAGCAGTTTTTGTCTTTTTTCAGTACCTTCCAGAATGAGTTGTTTCAGAACTCTGTCACGATGGCCACGCCCACCCCTCCCCTTATTAGCTGCTATGAGCTGTGCGACTCAGATATCCAGGAATGGGCTCAGAGTAAAGCTACAGCTTTCTCTCCCATGTGAGAGGTGGTTCTATGCTAACTTCCTTGTTTGTGATGTCACAGATTGGGATCGTTTGAAACGGCTCGCTTAAGGCAGAAAATTCCTGCAACCGAACACCGATAGAAAACAGATGAACGGGTTTTATTTGTGTTTGGAGTGTTTCTAGAAGCCCTCTCTAAGGAAAAAGGGAGTTTTGCGTAATGTGTTCCCTTTACGCTCCATTGTTACCATGAAAAGCAGCTAGACTTCTTTATGTTCCTGAAGACGTTTTGCTTCTCATCCAAGGAGCCTTCTCAGTTTTAACAGAAAAGTGAAACCTTCTAGACTATTGTTGGTAATCTGACCTCACAGCCCTTCCCTATGCCTCCCTATAAAACTAACAATCCCTATAAGAGCTTAAAATACATTCCTTTATGTTGGCGTAAACAACTTCACAGACAGCTGCTGTTTATTTATCAGTCCAGATCACACAGAGGATAACAGGTTAGCAGTGTGTGCTCAGGTGTGACCAGCAGCATGCCTGTAAAACCCTTAAATAGAACACTGCCCTTTGCTCTCCGATGCTACAGCTAACAGCCACACTCACGTTAAAACGTCTTATCAAGATCCTGTAATCTTCCATAGAATGTGAACATAATTACCACCAAAGTGTGAATATCACGTGTAAATATCACACATAGCAGGTGAAGCTGCTCCATGTTTGCTTTAATAAAGCTCGAATAAACAGAGACACCGCAAATATGAAGTCAATTAGTGATTCTTTTGAAATTTATTTAAAGGCAAAACTTTAAAGAGAACTTTTATTTACAGAGAATTAAAAATAAAAGCGTTATGTCTGTCTTTCTGGGGAAATAAATCATGTTTTGTGTAAATAAAGAATATAATTAGTTGACAGATCCAGGAGTGAAGCTGAGAAACGCTGCCCCCTTGTGACGCTACCCAGCTCCTCCTGGGGTTACGGTTTCATAATCCCTTCAGTGAGGTCTGGGTCTCTTCCCAGTAGGGAAGTACCTGGAAAACCTCCAGGGGGAGGCGACCAGGAAGCGTCCAAATCCGATGAGCCGAGTCGTTTTGATGAGGAGGAGCAACAGCTCTACTATTATTATTCCCCAAGAAATAACGGCACTCCTAAACTTATCTTTAAAGGTGCAATTTGTAAGAATGACACTCTGTGGTCAGATGTGGTTACTGCAGTCCATTTTATAAGCAAAAATATTCCCTTTTCACTACAGTTTAGTGAGTTGCCTGACTGTTTTGAGTTACGGATCAGCACCAGAAGATTCTAGATGACAAGCAAAGACGAGGTGTACACCGTAAGTTGCCAAGTAGATGAATACATTGTTATATTTGGTGTTAGCACTCTTGGATGTTTTACGGTAGGGAGCACCTACTACATGTATTATGATGCTGTTAGCTTCCTGTTATAGTTCAGAACGGCTCATTAAAGGAAGTGAAACACCACAGTTGACTCATTATTCCCTTCACACACACATTTCACTGTAATATGGAGTTGTTGGTCATTTAAAATGTAGCTTAAGATATTTTCAGAGTCGTCTATTTGCTTCTAATTTAGCGTTAGCATTGTTAGCTCAACGTTAGCCTCTAGCGTTCTTCACCAGATATTAGAGTAAAACAAAGCGGTGCCATGGCTTCTTGGGGGTACAAGAAATAACTTCTGGGTCGCTCCGGTTTACTGGTTTTGGTTCTTCTGACAACTGGAGTTTTTGCCTACTGGTGTCAAATTACAAATGACTGCGATGCTGCGTTAGCTTGCTGCAGATTCAGCAACGTCATGAGCTCACATTCATGAAAACAAAGACTATATCCGGCTTTTTGTTTTCAAAATGAGAAAAGCTGACAACCCCCCAGCCGACGGAGAATAAAATCTGTTTCAGTATAACCTTCCTTCCATCACGATTGAGAAATTAGGCTTTTGTGATAATTCCACTGTAGAATTCTTACATATTGCTCCTTTAAAATTGAGCCCGACGTTCAGGGGAAGCTCATTTTGGCCTCCTGTATCCGGGATCTTGTTCTTTCTATCATGATCTACATCTTATTGCTGTAGTTGAGAGTTGAGACCAGTAAACAGATGGCCTTGCCTATTGACTCTTCACCTCGACAGATCGAAGCTACCCCCTCACAAGCGATGAAGCCCTGATCCGTCAGTCTTTCTCCTGCTAGATTCTACCAGGCCCCCAAACATCCTAACGGATCTCGCATTAACTGAGTTTTACATAATGTGGATTAAAAGGATTTGACTCGGTTTTAAAAAACGATCTTTTTTTGTTTGTTTGCATTGATCATCAACGCAGCCAGAGCAGCAGGTTTTGAAAAGAACACAAGCGTCTCCATCTTTTTTAAAATATTCCTTCTCCTGACGAGAATAAATGTGGAAAGGCAGCCAAACTGGTCGTTGAAGGAACCTGCGAACCTCAGCGGTCAGCATCTCATCTGCTCAGTTTGTTTAAACTTGACTGTCTGCCATGAAAATAATCCTTTGTAAACAGCTAAATGTGTTGAACTGTTCCTTAAGGATGCCCACGCTATCACCTCCCCCTGATAGTTTTGTTTTTCTTCCCATCAAAGCGGGCGGCAGCAGCACATGATAGCACGTCTCCTGGAGCGGCGCTGCATTCCCATCCTCACGAAGCGTCCGGTGTGTGTTCAGTGAAAAGTGTATCTGTGTGCGTGTCCGAGTTTATCTCTGCACCGCCTTTGGTTCCCTCTGATTTCCCTCAAGTCTTATGTCTTTCTGTCCTGTTCTAGTCTTCTGAATGCTTGCTTATGGGTGTCATTTGTTTTCTCCCCCCCCAACCCTGCTTCCTCCCCTCCCATTTCTTCTTTATTTGCATGTTGTTCCTCCTGTTCCACATCTCCCTCCACAACACCTCTCCCTGTGTGCTCAGACACTGCGCCCAGCACTGAACCTGCAGCTCATGGTTGGTATCTCTCCTTTCTATTGTTTCCTCCTGTGCTTGCATGTTTGACCCTGCAGCGTGCCCACTTTTATTCCCGCACAGCGGAAATGTCAGCAGCCTGCTGTCGGTTATCCATCCATCGTTCTGATCAGTCCTTTAAGGCCACAGTGCCAACTAACCGGCACCGCTGTTGGGTTTCTGTTCAGTTTATTCTGTCAAAATAACTTCATGCCACTGCAAAAAGCCAGTTAGAGCATAAAGATCTCTAATCCCTCTTGCTGGAACAGCACTTGCGGAATGATTTCAGCAGCTAACCAATTACAGCGTTTCCCTGAAGGTGCCACAGAGTAATAAAACCGACTCCGAGGACACAGCAGATTACATCAACAGCGTTAGTTCTGTGCGGAGGCAAACATAGACCTCATTTACTTGTTTCCATACATTTGACTGAAGATGATACACATCATTTTCTAATTCTGTCTAATTTGCATTGCTGTCCCGTTATTTGTTTCTTTTTTTTTTTGGCTGCCTTTTCATAATTTGCGCTAGTGAATTCATGGTCACAAGCTTTCTGTTAATCAATGTGCTCATTTTGCTCCGTCTGAAATTTAAAACTTACTTCACTCATTTGGTATAATGACCACATTAGTGAGCCGCAGAGCAAAAATGAGCCATGGGTCCCTAATAAGCTCCTGTTTGTTGCAATTTAGCGGCATGATTTCATTTAGGTAAACAAATCATTTGAAGCTTCTTGCAGGTCAACAAGCCTCACACACTAATGAAATTACAACACACACCAAGAGACGCAGGTTAGGATCCAGACCCTCCTGCAGATTCTGCCTCCACTTGCAGGATTACTTTATGGCGACTCCCCATGCTTTCTTGTTTTTGGTGTCCAGTTTGAGAAGCACGTGTGTGATCTGCTCAAGCCCGTTGTAGACTACTGTCTCAAAGTAAACCACATCTGGCCTTAAAGAAATGTTTAGTTCATTTAGAAACTGAATTCTGTTGGTTAAACTCTGTCTTCAGGGTCTTTTTCATGAGAAACGTGCAGCACTTGTTCATTAAAATGCATATTCATGAACATGAAAGTTGTCTTCACACTCCATCGCTTGCATTAGTCGCAGAAAGGAAATGGTTGAATGATTGGATCAGAAAAAGCCAGTCTCTCCAGAAATGTAACGTTTGTGGCCCCGCCCACCTTGGCTTGGGACCACCCATGGCGAGGAGATATAAAAGTGCATCTCAGCTAGTTTAAGCTAGTCATTAGCCTTTTGCAACTCCACAACATGGCAGAACACTTTCACGTTTGTGTTTTAGTGGACAGAAAACATTAACAATGCATTTATACCCAAAGCAGAGCAAAATGAGATCATGGAAGAACTGTGTTGCTGTTAGCCAATCAGAGGCAAGATGTTTGCGCATCATAAGAATTAATGAATAAAACTCCTATTCCCGCCTTTTTCTGACTAACTTCTAACTCCTGAAACAGGAGCGCCAGAGCTTTATCCACAGAAAACAACTCGTAAGGAATTCATTCATAAAAGAGAGTGAGTCTGTGAGACGTTTCAAGCATCTGCATTCACCACATAAACGCTGTCACTTTCTAACAGCTGCTACTTTTTGACTCCGGTGCTGTAAAATTATTTTAATTGCCGAAACCACATGGAAAGTGTGAAAGGAGCTAATAGCCATGTTTCCCTTAGGAGTTCCAGGAACCCCCTGAGAGGAGGAAAGGTGACAGGGATCTACGTTCAGGGCTTTGCTAAGATGTCAGCATATTGTGATCGTTTTCTCAGTGGGTGATGTCACTGATCGGCTCTTAAAGGCGTCCATGAACATTAGTTCCATAATAAGCCTTATTTTGTCACAATTTGATGTCATTTAAAACATTCAGTGGATGTGGAGACTGCTTATGTGACGTAAAAAGCGGTGTTTAGATGACTAAAAGAATCACTATTTTTTACAGCGCTCTGTGGGAGACCACAAAGTGGCCTGAATGATGGCGTTGTGGGGGATTTTGGTGTTGGGAGTTCCGAAATGGAAAAGCATGAATGCTGCTTTTTTCCATTTGTGTCCATTCTGCTTCACCAGCAACTTCCAATTTTACATTTGCTGGTGTTTTGCTGACATCTGCTGAGATCTTTTCTCACTGAGTTACAACCAATCAGCATGAGTTTACCACAAGTCCCGCCCAGCGTCTCTACCGGGCCTTTTCCGAGTACGTACCCCAGTTCGGGATAGCGGTTGGTCCCTGAAGTGGCCCGGAAAATGGACCTTTTGGGCTGGCCTTGTGAAATGGAGACACACGAATATCGCAAAGGTCCGATAAAATTTCCCGGAAGTTCCGATAGTGGAAAACAAACCTATTTTGATTTTATTAAACAGCCATTTAAATTAATGTGTTCAATCATTCATTAAAAACTTTAGAAGCATTCACATTCCTGCTCTTTTATTGATGTTTGAAACATTTTGGCCATCAGATTTGATGAAAACTGTTGGTGGCATTGGTTTTCCTGAGGCTGAAGGCCCACTGTCAAATTGAGATTAGATGTTTCAAAAATGTTATTATTTTATAAAATTAAATCTTTTTTCAGCTCTATCCAATTACCTGCCTGTGCTTCCTAATTTTAACCACTATCTGAAACAAATGCTGCACCTCCAGATCTCGGTTAGGGATTTAATTACTAAAACAAGAGATAATTTGATTAGATTTTGCAGCTCCTAGATGCATAAATGTGCACATTAGGCTGGGAAAATTCAAAAGGATTTCCTTCCATTATGGTTCAATGTAGCACATTCATTTCAGCATTTTACTGTCATCGAAATTATCTTTGAATTAATCGAATTAATTCTGGTCATTACCATCAGTTATCCTGTGCCTGCTGACATGATGTCGACTTCCTCCGTCTGCAGCAGTGAAGTTTCCTTCCTGTAAATGATGACGGAGGCTCGAGTTAAAGAGACAACAGATGCTTTGTTCTCCTTTTTGCAAGATGTGCTTTTAGCAGTGATGAGTTTTTGAATGGTTACCCCAGATGTTCTATCTCAGCCCATAATCATTTTTTAAATGTTAGTGATTACCCACAGTGTGGGATTATGAGGATGAAAATCAAGTTTACTGGTGGTGTAACTGGATTTTTTGGATTATGTGCGGTAAACAGTATGAATTGTTTCAACTTTAAAGACTCATTCAGGAGGTTTTTAGCCGAAATGTCAGTTGTTTTGTTTGAAACGTGTTTAAAAACTGCTGAAAAGTAGCTGATTTAGTTCTGATTCTGAATATATTTTGAAGAAAAAATATTTTCATACGTTCAGAATATGAAACATTTAGATTTTAACTATCCATTGTGCTGGTCAGAGGACATGGATCCTATTAAGTTATGCACCGAATGTAACGGAATTTTGTTTCATGCATTAACATGAAAATTAAAAGTGTATGTCTAATATTAAGAATTTTACAGTGAAATGATCACAAAACAGTAAAATGTCTCAGTCTTTGTGGAAGGAAGGTTACATTGAAATGGATTTCCTTCTCACCCAGCAGGGTTTTTCATTTTTTCCCATTGCTGAGTCTCTGTCGAGTTAATGCTGCAGCTCCGGCATTTAATTCAACTCCAGCAGGCAAAAGGCTCCAGAGAACCAAATCCAGCAAACAGTTATTCCTTTTTGTTTTCCTCTAATATCGGGTGAAGCATGCTAGAGGCTAACGTTGAGCTAACAAAGCTAACAGTTAATTAGAAGCAAATAGTCCACTCTAAAAATATCTCAACCTACTTTTTACCAATACTTCATTATTACAGTGAAATGTGTAGCGGAAATCCATATTTTACAGTATATCCTCACGTTAAACTTTGTATGGATTTACACGGAAAAGAACAATAACATTGTCACAAAAAGGGTTCTTTCACATTCAGCAGAAGGAAATAAAAAGGGAATTTGAAACTGGCCCGCAGTTGAGCATTTTGGTTAACTCCTACATTTTCTCCCAGGAACGTAAATGTTAACAAGTGACTTGTTAAGCCGGACATAATCAGGACTTGGTCTGTCTTACCTCAACCTGCCAATAACTGACTCTTTCCCCCCAGGCTGGGTGCTCATAAAACTTCTCAAGGGTCATTCTGGAAGATTCCAGGATCTCGCCTTTATCAAAACCCTGGTATTTTTCTGTTTATCTATAACCAAAGAAGGTGTTTAGGTTGTTCACCCTTAAAATAGAAACCAAGGTGCTCTAAGTTAAAATCTTATCGGCCACAGACCTAAACTGTTTGTTTTGTGTTTTCTTTTGTGTTAAACCTCTGTCATTTGGTGTTTCTCCAGTTAAAATTCATGCTAATGGTAAAACTTTTCAGTTTTAAGACATGAATTTTATTCTTTCCCATTTAAAGTAATACTTTGATGCTAAAGTAATACTTTTTGAGGATTTATATGAATAACTGTGTTAAATTGTGATCATGGATTTTTCCATCTTGGAGAAGGTAGAGTTTATTTGGAAGAGCCACGGTGCCCTCCAGTGGTTTTTGAATAAGATACAGGTGGGCGTGCCCAAAAGGTTATAAAAGCAACCATCCGAACCTCGTGGCGGCAGTTTAAGAACAAAGGTTGCCTTAAGCTCATTACCCTGCGGGCTGTTTTCCATCTGGCCCAGCAGAACCCAGAGCTTTAAAGTAATTAGCTCTCAAAAGTTATGGTAAAAACTTAGAAGCAACTCTGTTTGTTTTGTTTTGACATCCCACGCGCAACTGGAAGTTGACACGTTCAAGACAAGTTCGCGCATTAAGAGTTGAAAGCAATTTGGAACCGTTCTCCTGATTCGGCACCATTTGTGAATCTGGACTCGTGCTCTGAATTCCACGTTTCGGTGCTGCTGAGTTGAGGACCTTAAAGTCAAGCCACGGTGGAGGAACGCATAATTCTCCAATCCACAGGCGCCTGTTGACCAACTCGGAGGCCAACATTCCTACAGAACCCTGAAGGCTTCACCCCACAGGGACTCAGGCTTACCACAGCCTTTGGCCATC